ATTTTACTAATAAAATAGTATTTTACCCATGAGCTGTTCTAATTTTAGTACCGGGACACTGATTTTTTTTTTCTCGTTAGCACTACCATCAAAAAGTCGAATCGGGAGATTCTTACACTTATGGAGATATTTAAAAAAATTGAGAGTCAATTCCATTACTTTCTTCAATGACCTTCATGACCTTCAACACGCATGTGGCGATGAGTGCTACTGACCTTGTTGCCTTCCCTCTGGTCAGTAATTTAAAATTAGGGTTCAAATTACAAAAGAACAAAACAAAAGCAGAAGTGGGTTTATCGTGTTCGTGAATAGATACGTCAAACCCTTGTATCTAATTATGTTTAGCTAAATCTGATTAGAGAAAAAAAAGTAAGTGGTCTAACCATGCTTATATAAGTTTCCAAGTAATTATCCAGATTTCTATCTTCGTTCACATGTAAAAATAAAATAATAGATAAGTAACATCAGAACTCTTTCCTGTAATTACTATCTTATTTTTCTTTTGACATTGGAGCTAACTGATTAAGCCTGTCACTATTGTAATTATTCTTGTCGCCATGGTTTCATCACGTGGGAACCAATCACTCAGTGTGAGTATGCGCATGTGTTATATAATCACTTACTAGAATTACACTAATAACTGCTATTATATAAATTTGCGAAAAAATGTGAATCAATCTCAAAAAAAAAAAAAGATTCATCACAGAATACAATAATATAGATTAATTTATGATTGTAAAAACAAACAAAAAACACGTAGGGTCGAAACGTTTGGCATATCACATGAAAAAAAAAACGGATAAAATCCTAGCGCTATCAAACACGGACCTGTCTTCTTCAGGGTTGATGGCAGAAGGGTACAATGAAATATGTAGATTAATTAGAATTTATAATTGGATCCTCTTGAGCGATATTATCGCCAGATTTCTACCAAAATGTTTTTAGAACTTCGAAGAAAGTTTAAAAAAAGTAAGTTGCTAATTAACTTTGACTTTTGTAAAAGTTCGCCTGTAGTTATTCAATAACTTTGATAGTTGTGATTTTAAAACACAGATGGCGGTTGTGGTGATGTAGTTTCAGTTTTCTTACGTCGAAAATTATGTTTCTGTTCTAATTTTTTATTTTATTTTAGGTACAATCTGTACTATTTTATCACCAACTCTAGTTTATACTATGAATTTTGAAGTAAAATATGTAAAAAAAATTAACGAGTACAATTATAAGAACGATATACTAGTATGAATAATCACGTTGAAAACTATTTTGTTCTTTTAAAATATAAAAACTTATAAAAAAGTATACGTCTTTTGCTGACAAATATTCGTAAATTTTCTTCGCTTGTGACAATAATAGTTTTTCAGGTATTCACGGGAATTATTTTCTAAAATCTCATTTTTTACATGTTATTTTCTTCCTTAATAAATTTCCGAAGTAAATTCACCTCTTCCAATTTGAACAAATAGCTGATACAAGATATATATGGTTGTCTCATTGAATTAGTGTTTAACTTGCATAATTTTGATTCTAGACAGAGGAAAACAAAGACTTCCGTTGACGTGGTTACGTTCAGACTTTCATCTTTGGATTAAGTAAATTGTTTTTTTTTTTTTTTAAAGGGACAAGCATTTGTGACCAAGATTAATAATGATATGAATAATATTTTATTTTTATTTCATCTTTAAGCAAAATAACGGAATCGGTTAGACGTAAAGCCGTATCTGTATAGACATGTTTCTTCATACCGGATATACGTATAAACATGTTTCTTCATACCGGATATACGTATAATAGACATGTTTCTTCATACCGGATATACGTATACACATGTTTCTTCATACCGGATATACGTATAATAGACATGTTTCTTCATACCGGATATA